TGTATAAATATGTTTAAAGACATGTTTTTTAGTGAAATCCCAGCCTTGTGGTCCAGAACGTGTGTACATGAGTGACCGACTGAAACCAGCGACACTTGCATCCTGGTACAGAGTGGTACCAGTCCCTGGTCAACAGAGGAAGAGACGAAACAAGACGGAGACGGGGGACGGTAACGGGGGAGAGACCTCCCTGACACCTGATTGTTTCCTGACTCCCTGTGTCTGGACATCCTGACCGGAAACTTTTGGGACCCCCCCCACCCCCACCCCCACCCCCCAGAGGTAACATTGTGTGTAGTGTGCGTGTGTACAGACTGAACTGGATGTTAGTGTGACGTGGGAAGTTGACTGGCAAAATGCCCATTCTTTTTAGGGAACATATGGGGCAGGGCCCTGCTGTGTCCAACAGTACCGCTGTCCACCAACAGTACAGTCAGAAAGTACTGGAGAACGGTTGTGCAAAGAGTTTTAGATGAAGTGTTGGTTAATTTAACTAAGAAAATGTCAGGTGATGAAATAAAAGATTATTAATATTAATATTTACCTTGAATATTCTTTATCTTTAAAGCCAACATCAGTTCTTCTACTGCCCCACAGGGTTTTTTTTCTAGAACTGGATGAATATGCAGAGTCTTCTAAACATCTTGGATCTTCTAGAGGCCGGTCAGAACCTTCTGGACTTTCTGGTGACCCCGGACACACTTCATGGATTTCTGTTAATTCCTTCCATGACTCCTTGGTTCACTTCTTTAGCCAGTGTTTTATAAGACAGTGGTCACACGTTTGTCTTGATTAAGATTTTCCGTTTCACTCACGTTGTGTTCTGCGAATTGACTTAAATGTAACCAAGAAAAAAGATATTTATGTCATTTCCAGTCGACTTTGTGTTTAGTTTAGTTTTCATCCACGTCGCTACAAAACAGAGATAAAAATACATGTACTTTGCCGCCATCTGGTGGAGCAGACGTACACTGCACAATTAACAAACCCATAACTTTTGCATTAGACGTTTTATACCTTTATGGACCGGGAACCAAAAAAGACACATATTTTAAAATGTATTTCCGTGAGAGCCACACAATATATATTTTTATTTCCTCTGAATACTATACGAAATGTTTTAAACAAGCCCAATCATTTAAGAGTATAATAAGTTTCTGAAGAATTATAAAAAGTTATTTAAAAAATAAACAACGTTGTTAAAGTACTTCTGATCATTAATGTGACTTCTGGTGCTTCATGGTTCTGATGTGATTGACTCCAGCACCAAAGAGTAATGGATTAAAATGTGTAACGGAGTAATAAATATATGGTTTCGCTTGTCGTACAGAACAGTTTAATACTCACTACGTAAGAAAAGTCTTAATTTATCGTACGGTCATTAAATGCAACACTCCTCGTGAACCCAAGGGGGCAGCAGACGGCTCTGTTAGGAGGTCCGTCATTCTTTTATTTGATTATTTTAATTTGATCATTATATTGATTATTATATTAATTTGTAGTATAATTGTCATTGTTATTGCCTTTAATACTGTAATATTTTTAGTCTGACTAAGTTCTCTTCTTATTTAAGCTGCTTTCATCCTGTTTCTATGTTATGTTTTACATATTTTACTTACATTTGATCATTTCCGGCCTAACATTAGTTATCTAATGATATTCTGCATATTTTGAAATAAAAATTGCACTTCCTGGAAAAATATGTTCGTACGCAATGAAAATGGTTTAGTACGTATTTATAATGAAATATAAAAGTGTTTATAATTATATGCTTCACATGGGCAGTAGTTTGATCTTTTGTATTGTTCGTTATTGAATGAAGTATTTTCAAAGAGCCTTTGAACGTACATGTAAGCTGCTTTTATTTTGAAGGATTTGACTGATTTACCCGGAAGTGAACACGTGTTTTTATGCTAACGATGGATGTGTCATCAGTGCCTCAGTGTTGAGGTGGAAACTGCGTAGTTTGGGCAAAGTATATATCCAGACATGTATTAAAAAGTGTCGACGACATAGTTTAAGCCACGGTTGTTGCTCCGAGGAGGCTGTCATTCAGTCAACAAAGTCGGACACTGTCTGAGAAGCTCCGGCTATACTCGACGCAGGGTTGTTAGCAGTCAGGCTAACTGGCTGGTTCCTTGTCTGCCAGGGTTCCGACCGGACGACAGCGACATGTCCTGCAGTCTGTTAGAGTTCTGTCGGCTCCAGGAGCTCAAGACGGTCCGGGACTTTCTGTTCCAGAGCCAGAAAACCGAGCGAGTGGAGGAGAATGAAGCAGGTACTGAGGCTCGGTGGATGTGCACCGGGACAGTCATGTCAACAGCTCGGTCTGTTTATCCAGTGTATCCAGTTCATCTAGTCCAAGTGCTGATATTTGAACTTATTTTATATTAACAATTTATCATGTATTAACAACATGTTTTGACCTCTGACATGAAGAGCACACGTCACAGATGGTTCTAACTGGTGTTCACCTTCTCTTCAACAGAAAACCAGCTGTCCTGGGACACATCTGACTGGGAGTCGGCGTGGGAAAGTGGGGACCACAAAGAGGAGGAGCAGGAGCAGCGGCCTGTTTCTACTCCAACAGTCGGTGTTTTTGGACACATTTTCACTTGACTTTTCTGCTTAATGTAGTCAAAGATAATCACAAGTGACCAATGTAATAGAAATCAAATATTTATTCAAACCCAACAACAGTATATATGTGTATATATGTATGTATATATATTTATACATATGTATATGTAATTATATATGTACATATGCATGTATATGTACATATATGTACACATACTGTATATAATATATGTACATATATATGTACATATATTATATATATGTACTGTTATATATAATATATGTACATGTATATGTACATATATTATATATATACATATATAATATATCTACATGTATGTACATATATCTAATATATGTACATATATGTAATATATCTACATATATATGTACATGTATGTACATGTATGTAATATATGTACATATATTATATCTCCAGATGTTACTAAGTAAAAGTCATAGTTTTGCCCTGACATGTTGTATCTGAGTGTCTGCTTCACTGATGACGTTCACTCACTGAAGTTGGATTTTCACATCTGCTCTTGTGGTGTGAACCCAGTCAGAGGAAGAGGCCGGCGGGCAGACTGGACCCTGGCTGCAGGACTGCACCGTGTCACTGTCTCCCTGCTCTGATCTGCTGGTTGTAGCCCGTGAACACAGAGCCGTCTTCCTCTCTGGTTAGAGCCACACTCAGACTCAGAGACAGACGTGAAGAGAGAGAGAGAGAGGTGTTAGTGACTGATGTTCAAACTGTGGTTCTCCCTCCAGCCAAGTGGCGCACAGATGACAGTGGTAGAGAAGAGATGACTTTGGCTGTGTCCTGGTCCGGGACCCTGAGCTCAGAGGAAGGGTGAGTGTGAATTCACCTTAAACACGAAGGAATGTGAATATGAAGTACAATGAAGTACAATGAAGTACCTTACGTCCAGCAAAACTCTCAGAACCTTTTCGTGGACCACAGACCAGATTAATGCTAACCCTAATTTTACTGTGGACCTCGTCAGAAAACGTAACAAAGTGTATCGTTCTGTAGGATTGATTCACGATGACAACTCTCATTGGTCGAAATAAAAATGGACTGGTCCGTCCCTGGTCATACCATGACACTACAAACTCTAGTCCGCTAGGTGGCAGTATGCTCCTAGAACCACTGGTTAGATAGATAGATGTAGTTTATAGATCGCAGGCTGGGAAATCGTAGTGTCCTGCAGGTAAACCAAGACTGTCATTTTGCTTTAAAAAAACATGTTAAAATCGTATCATGAACAAAAAAATTGCGAGTCATATCGTGTTAGTGCTTGTTTGTTTTGGACTTTTCTGCTGACTCATCATTAGAACGTGTATTTATTTTAAAGTACATTTTGAAAGCTGGTTTAAAGGTCTTACCAGTGCAAGAAAAAAACTAGTCAAATCATCAGCAGACAGAAATGACATATTTTAGAAAGAGAACTTGGTACAGATTAACGTGTTCTTCTCTTCCTCACAGAGAGTGTGTGAGCAGCTGTGTCTGTATTCCACTGGCGAGTCAAAAGAGGTACGGTAACCTGGTGGTAGACTGCTGGTACTGCTGATACTGCTGGTACTGTCGTCCATATGTATTCATGCAAATATTGTGTACTGCGTTTGTGTGTATTTGTAGGAGTTCCACAGGGCGACCCGATTGGACGTGTGTGGTCGTTGGTTTCACCTCAGGCTACGTCCGCTTCTACACCGAGGTACGTCGTCGGTCGTCACCACGACTCTGTCGTCTTCGTCGTCTTCTTCTTCTTCTTCTCTCCTTGTCAGACTGATGACTGTGTCTGTGACCTCAGAATGGAGTTCTGCTGCTGTCACAGCTGCTGCACGAAGACCCGGTACTGAGACTCAAGTGTCGCACCTACGAGGTTCCCCGTCACCCTGGTGTCACAGAGCAGGTACTACAGCGTGTATTACTGTAGCAGTACCAGATAAGCCTACGCAGAGACCTGACGTCTGGGTTTAATAGTGGGTTTTTAGGAGCATACTGCCACCTACTGGACTGGAGTGTGTAGTGTCATGGTCTGACCAGTGACTCCTCACACCTTGACGGACCAGTCAGTTTTTATTTCAACCAATGACAGTTGTCACATGTTTGAAAATATTTTTAACCGATTCACGATGCGTCGTTACGTCGCTGGTCGTGGATGAATGTTTCATTACAAACGTGTGTATTAGTACTGTGTACTGTGTACTACAGCACAATCAAAGTACTTTGGTGGAGACGATGTCCACACGTCTGAAAAGGAGTAGAAAACAGCATTAGCATCATCCACTTAACACCTTAGTCCATGTTTAGCCTAGTTAGCCTGTTTAGCCTGGTTAGCCTAGTTAGCCTGGTTATGATGTTAATGTAAACTGTCTACACACACTAATACTCTTAGAGTATGTGTCTGTGACAGTGAGTACACAGTGTTTCAAATATTACGTGTACATGAGTCGTCTGTTTCAACTGCCAACATTCAGGAATGTTGATTAATCACGATTAATCGTCTAACATCTGATTGAATTATCATTAACCCTTAGTAGGTCCACAGTTAGCCAATGACTAATCAGATGAAGTAGTTGACCTTTTGACCTTCTGACCACAGCACGAGGAGCTGACCATCCTCTACCCCGCTGCCCTGGTCACCATCGATGGCTTCAGCCTCTTCCAGTCTCTGAGGGCCTGCAGGAACCAGGTGGCCAGAGGTGAGGGGTCTGTTGGGGAGGGTGGGGGGGAGGGGGGTGGCAGAGCGGAAGGTCTCACAGCTGTTTGTGTTTGTGCTGATTCAGCTGCAGCAGTAGGAAGTGATGTCATCCAACCTCCTCCTCTGGCCTACAAGAAGTGGGGTCTGCAGGACATGGACTCCATCGTGGACCACAGCAGTGTTGGTGAGAAGATACTCCATCAGTACTTCAACAGTACTCCATCAGTACTTCAACAGTACTTTATCAGTACTTCATTGATGTCCTGCCAACTTTGTTTGGAAGGACATACATTAAGAACAAGTTTGTGTTTGAGACACTGGAACGTAGAGATTCATACAGATCTACTGTGGGACCAGGGTCAGGTCTGGGACCAGGGTCAGGTCTGGGGCCAGGGTCAGGTCTGGGACCAGGGTCAGGGGTGGATGGAGGGAACAGCACAGACAGACAGACAGACAGGACCCCGTTCCACTCTCAGTCTCTCTCTCTCTCCTCCCTCTCCTCCTCCTCCTCCTCCTCCTCAGGCATCATGACCCTGTGTGTCTTTGACCAGATGAAGAACGCTTCTGTTCTGGGGGGGTTTCATGCTTCAGTCAAAGGCAGCCCCCCAGCCATGAGCCAGTATGTCACTGTGGGAGGAGGACCCTACACTGGCTTTTACTACGCTGTAGAGGTCTGTGTCTGTGTCTGTCTGTGTCTGTGATGTTGACCATATATGGACTGACTCCATGTTAATGATCTCCTTCTGGACCTCCTCTCAGGGGAGTTCTCAGCCGCTCCTCTCTCACGTGGCTCTGGCCGTGGCCAGTAAACTGACCTCCGCTCTGTTCAGTGCTGCCAGGTAGGTCTGTGACCACGTCTGTGTCTGTGTCTGTGACCACGTCTGTGTCTGTGTCTGTGACCACGTCTGTATCTGTGTCTGTGACCGCGTCTGGGTCTGTGTCTGTGACCACGTCTGTATCTGTGTCTGTGACCGCGTCTGGGTCTGTGTCTGTGACCACGTCTGTATCTGTGTCTGTGACCACATCTGTGTCTGTGCCTGTGACCACGTCTGTGTCTGTGTCTGTGACCACATCTGTGTCTGTGTCTGTGACCACATCTGTGTCTGTGCCTGTGACCACGTCTGTGTCTGTGTCTGTGACCACGTCTGTATCTGTGTCTGTGACCACATCTGTGTCTGTGTCTGTGACCCGTCTGTGTCTCAAATATCTGTTCAGAAACAGGTTTCAGTTCAATGAGCAGCTGTGCCTGACTTCATTTATTCTCCTCTTCCTCCTCCTCCTCCTCCTCCCCCACCCTCTTCCTCCTGCTCCTCCTCCTCCTCCTGCTCCTCCTTGTGGATGGCTGGGCTGGAACAAGAACAAACATGAAGAGGAGTCGGTCCAGAAACACAAGCCTAAGGTGGAGGCTGCCACTCCTTTAGGGATCAGGTAGTGTAGCTGATGTCCATCCACTGATGGACATGTGAGACGGTCTGGACCAGACTGATGTCCCCTGGTTGACCCCTGACCTCTGTGCTCCAGGTTTGGTCTTCCAGACTCCCGTCGTCATGGAGAGTCCATCTGTCTGTCTCCCTGCAACACTCTGGCCGGAGTCACAGACGACTTTGGCCGCGTCACTCTGCTGGACCTGTCCAGAGGTGTCGCTGTTCGCATGTGGAAGGGTGAGTGTTTGTTACTGAGCGCAGTTCAGTCAATATATGTTGGGTGAAATATATATTTAGGTGCTGACAGTGAATTCAAAGGTCAACAAATATATTTTGGTTCTGTCTCAGTATTGTTATTCTTCATAGCTGCCACTAACTTTTTATTTCATTTGTTGTGTCTAATGTTACATTTACGTTGTAATATATATATTTATATTTTTATATATTTTATATTGTGTTGTATTTTTAATTTAGTATTTGCAGGAGACTCTAGATGTGTACTGCATTAGTACATTTATTTACTTTTCTTTATATATTTATCTATATATATTTATATTTTTATATATTTATATTGTGTTGTATTTTTAATTTAGTATTTGCAGGAGACTCTAGATGTGTACTGCATTAGTACATTTATTTACTTTTCTTTATATATTTATCTATATATATTTATATTTTTATATATTTTATATTGTGTTGTATTTTTAATTTAGTATTTGCAGGAGACTCTAGATGTGTACTGCATTAGTACATTTATTTACTTTTCTTTATATATTTATCTATATATATTTATATTTTTATATATTTATATTGTGTTGTATTTTTAATTTAGTATTTGCAGGAGACTCTAGATGTGTACTGCATTAGTACATTTATTTACTTTTCTTTATATATTTATCTATATATATTTATATTTTTATATATTTATATTGTGTTGTATTTTTAATTTAGTATTTGCAGGAGACTCTAGATGTGTACTGCATTAGTACATTTATTTACTTTTCTTTATATATTTATCTATATATATTTATATACAGTATATACTGTATATACATATATATATATATATTTAAGAGGCTCTTTCTTCCCAGTCCAAATACATAAGATGAAAGTCATTCACACTGACTACTGATTATTGATCGTCCTCATCCTCGTCCTCGTCCTCGTCCTCTGACTCCAGGGTACAGAGACGCTCAGCTGGGTTGGCTGCAGATCTCAGAGGAGCGAGGAGATCGGGATTTCTCCCCCTCTGCCTCCCTCCCCAGACGGCACGCTCTGTTCCTGGTCATCTACGCCCCCCGCAGGGGGATCCTGGAGGTGTGGGCCATGCAGCAGGGGCCACGGGTCGGAGCGTTCACCGTGGGCAAACACTGCAGGTGTGGGCTGCGTTTACTGACGTGTCTTTGGTCTAGTTACTTCAGAAATATATCAGTGTGTGTGTGTGTGTGTGTGTGTGTGTGTGTCAGGCTGCTGTACGCTGGCTACCGTCTGATGGGGGTCAACAGTGTGACCAGTCAGGGGTGGCAGCTCCACACTCAGCAGGTCTGTCTGCTGGACCCCGGCTCTGGAGCGCTGAGGACCGTGAACATCCCGTTTCACCTGGCCCTCAGGTTGGTCCACACACACACAGGACTGGATCATAGGTCACAAAGTACTCTGTACTCTGTGTACAAGTAGTATGACAAGTGTACTGCTGTTGCTACAGTCTGTAAAAGGAAACAGTAGAAAAATGATCTCTCTCTCTCTCTCTCTCTCTTTGTCTCTTTGTCTCTCCCCCTGTCTCTCTCTTTGTCTCTCCCCCGTCCCTCTCTTTGTCTCTCTCCCTCCCCCTGTCTCCCCCCCGTCTCTCTTTGTCTGTTTCAGTGACAAAAAGAGTGAGCGAGCCAAAGACATGCACCTGTTGAAGAAACTCTCAGTGTTACTGAAGAGCAGAGACCTGGAGCCTGGTACGACTACTGTAGGACTACTGTAGGACCACTGTAGGACTACTGTAGGACTACTGTAGGACCACTGTAGGACTACTGTAGGACTGCTGTAGGACTACTGTACCACTGTAGGACTGTACCGCTGTAGGACTGTACCACTGTAGGACTACTGTAGGACTGCTGTAGGACTGTACCACTGTAGGACTGTACCACTGTAGGACTGCACCACTGTAGGACTACTATAGGACTGTACCACTGTAGGACTGTACCACTGTAGGACTACACCACTGTAGGACTGTACCACTGTAGGACTGCTGTAGGACTACTGTACCACTGTAGGACTGTACCGCTGTAGGACTGTACCGCTGTAGGACTGTACCGCTGTAGGACTGTACCACTGTAGGACTGCTGTAGGACTGTACCACTGTAGGACTGTACCACTGTAGGACTACTGTAGGACTGTACCACTGTAGGACTGCTGTAGGACTACTGTACCACTGTAGGACTGTACCGCTGTAGGACTGTACCACTGTAGGACTACTGTAGGACTGTACCACTGTAGGACTGTACCACTGTAGGACTACACTACTGTAGGACTACTGTACCACTGTAGGACTGTACCGCTGTAGGACTGTACCACTGTAGGACTGCTGTAGGACTACTGTACCACTGTAGGACTACCGTAGTACTGTAGGACTACTGTAGGACCACTGTAGGACTACTGTAGGACCACTGTAGGACTACTGTAGGACTACTGTACCACTGTAGGACTGCTGTAGGACTACTGTACCACTGTAGGACTACTGTAGGACCACTGTAGGACTACTGTAGGACCACTGTAGGACTGCTGTAGGACTACTGTACCACTGTAGGACTACTATAGGACTGTACCACTGCAGGACTACTCTAGGACTGTAGGACTGTACCGCTGTAGGACTACTCTAGGACTGTAGGACTGTACCGCTGTAGGACTGTACCACTGTAGGACTACACTACTGTAGGACTACTGTACCACTGTAGGACTACCGTAGTACTGTAGGACTACTGTAGGGTAGGACTACTGTAGGACTGCGGTACCACAGTGGTGCAGTGGGTTTAGCCTTTGTTCTTCTCTGAACAGATGTTCTGGGGACTGAAGTCAAAAGTGCTCTCCTGGAGATCAAACATCCTGCCATGAAGAAACAGGTGAGTGAAGATCAGTGGTCGGTGTTCAACACGTGGTCCCGTAGGAAATGACTGAGAAACTGAAGGTGTGTGGTTCTGTTTCAGGCTCTGGAGTCACTGCTGTCCAATAGAAATGCTCCAGTCTCCTGTCTGAGTGACATCACACGCTCCTTATATGACACGCTGAAGCAGCAGGGTGGGTGGTCCTGCCGTGACTCGGTGTCTGTGACTCGGTGTCTGTCGTTGTTTCAGATGCTTGATCGTTCCTCTGTCTGTCTCTGTCCTCCTCAGACCCAGACCAGGTGGACACAGAGCTGCTCCAACTCTGCTGCTCACAGACCAAACTGCTGCAGCTCTACACTGACGTCCAGCAGCTTCAGTCCACCACAGACACAGAGGAGTACTGTCACACAGTGAGGACTGTCACACAGTGAGTACTGTCACGCAGTGAGTACTGTCACACAGAGGAGTACTGTCACACAGTGAGGACTGTCACACAGTGAGTGAGTACTGACATATATGTATATATATATTTATCATATATATGATCATATTTATCATATATACGGTCATATATTTATCATTTATCCGGTCATATATTTATCATACATATGGTCATATAAACGGTCATATAGTTGTCGTATATATGGTCATATATTTATATATATGGTCATATAGTTTTTGTATACACAGTCATATATTTATCATATATACGGTCATATATTTATCATTTATCCGGTCATATATTTATCATACATATGGTCATATAAACGGTCATATAGTTGTCGTATATATGGTCATATAGTTTTTGTATATACAGTCATATTTTTATCATATATACAGTCATATATTTATCATACAAATGATCATATATACGGTCATATAGTTTTCGTATATATGGTCATATAGTTTTCGTATATACGGTCATATATTTATCATATATACGGTCATATATTTATCGTATATACGGTCATATATTTATATATAGGGTCATATATTGTTCGTATATACGGTCATATATTTATCGTACATACGGTCATATATTTATTTATATTTATCCTACAGAACCACAAAGACACTTGTCTGTGAACAGTATATTTCTGTTTATATTTTGCAGTAATGAATGGTTGTTTTTCTTTTCCTCCTAAATGTATTCTTGGATTCTACTTCCTGTTTTCCAGCAGGACTCAGTAGAAGTCCTAAAGGAAGAAGTGTCCCGCGTGGGTCCTATCCTACATCGTTACAGCCAGCTCACCTCCAGACCCAGTGTCACGTTTGCTCAGGACTCCCCCGACTCCCCCCTCAGCGCTCAGGCCTTTCTGTCTCAGATGGAGGTGACGGAGAACGGAGAGCTGAAGGTGAACCGAGGATCGGAAGGGGACTGGAACCAACTGGGTAGGACTGACCTCTGGAACTGTTTCTCATTGGTCGCTCACTCCTCTGACTCCTCTGACTCCTGCGACTCCTGCTGTGTCTCTGCAGGAAACTTTCTCTTCTGGGGTTGTCTGTGTGGAAAAAGTCCACTCCAGAAAGTGTGTGAAACACTGCAGCGGGCCGGCATCAGTCCACAGCAGCTGCTGGTGAGACCAGCATCAGCACCTCCTCATACAGCACCTCCTCATACAGCACCTCCTCGTACAGCACCTCCTCATACAGCACCTCCTCATACAGCACCTCCTCATACAGCACCTCCTCATACAGCACCTCCTC